GGGAAAAATCCAATGAAAAAAGTTGTAAATATAAAAAATATGTTGTATGTATATTTTAATAAAAGTCAAAAGCTACATGATGATACAGTAAAGTTGTATGCGAGAAATTTTAAAAAAATTAAAAAACGGCCATTTGACCGCGCATGGTAAATTTAGTGTTAAGACCAATTATCTTTAAGGATTAATGATGGATCCTAGGTCGAAACAGTGCTTGTTTCGAATATAAACACTGAACAGATCAAGCTATCTAAAAAAATGATAACTGCTAAAGGTATGTTTATTTAATAAAATTTTTTTATATTTTTAGCTTTTTAATAGAAACCAATGAATTCCATGTACTGGTATCAAAGCAACGAAATCAATCATTCGCCTTGACGTCACCAATAGACACTCTTTTTCTAGCTCTTTAATTTCTATTAGTAATTGTGAGTGTTGGATGCTAGACATCCTAATTCCAATAATACAAACAAACAAATGGAATTCTAAGATCGGATGTTTTCGTTTCAAATCAGCAACACTTTTTCAAAGAAAAATATAAAAGCGAATTAATAATAAAGAAGATGCCATTTATAAAGGCTAGTTCTGTTAATAAGACTAAGCGGCCAGTAAGTGAACCTGCACCCAGCAGTGTGCAAAACAATGCAATGTTTATTCTCTAAAATTAAATTAATGAAGCGTTCAACGAATATATAAGACTATTTGTTATTCTACTGTTAATGGCAAGTGTAATATTAACATTGTTGTTATTACTTACTTTAAACATGTCTGCTGATTGCAAATTTCTTTATATAGAATAGACATTTATGCTTGATTGTTTAATATCAACACAACTATCTAAACCTCAAACCTAGGTAGATCAATCCATTTCTTGGTTCATGATGCCACCATAAATCCAATCCTACTTACAACAAACCTTAAAAAGTATTTTCAAATTTATTCAAATTTACAGAGCACAGACTAAACACTTAAAAAAAAGTTGCAGTGGTGGCAAAAAAAGAAATATTTAAATAGTATAATTATTATATCCTTTTTAGCCACAACCTTCAATTTTTTTACTTTATAAAAGCTTTTTTAATACCTTGAGAACAATTAACATCGCTCTTTTGTAACTTTTTTAGTATTAAAAGAAAAATTTTTGTTTTAGGTAGAAAAAACCGGAATATTTTTTTTGTATAAAAAATTGAAATTTAAAATCGTTTAAGACTATTAAAATCTTTGTTTTTATTCCTTACTAGCCTGCGCTGTCCCGTTTTAAAACGGGACCTAAACATTATAATTGCGTTATTTGGCTAAATATTGTTTTATTTTTTTTCCAGGCTCTAATAACTTTTTTTTCTTTATTAAAATATTTATTTTATTATTTTTTTACTGCTACATAAGAATTATATGTATAGCTTACTAATTTATTAAATA